GGCTCACGGTGGTGGCTCTTGCGGGTGAGGAAGGCCACGTGTCAACGCTGGAACTGTCTCCAGCGAGGAGAGCAGTGAAACCAAAGCAATCCTGCCTTCCCGGGTGGATTGCAAAACTTTCCTGCCGCCTTCAAGGCGCTGAAGGATGTAAGGATGTAGGGATGGAGATTCCCACCACGTCCCCCATTCAACTCAGCACCCCCCCCCAAAAAATACAGATGGATCTCGGAAAAGTTCCAAGATGTTCCAAGTTCTCAAATGCTTTTTTTAGAATTATTTTTATTTATTTATTTTCAGAGAGAGGGAAAGGGAGGGAGAAAGAGAGGGAAAGAAATATCAGTGTGTGGTTGCCTTTCACGTACCCTCTACTGGGGACCTGGCCCACAACCCAGGCCTGTGCCCTGACTGGGAATCAAACTGGTGGCCCCCTGGTTCTCAGGCTGGTGCTCAATCCACTGGACCACACCAGCCAGGACTCACAGTCTCCAGCTTTAATAAACATCCCATCTGAGCGTGCTTTGCTGCAGCCAATACATTCTTGCTGCTTTACTGTGCTTCCTCTCTTGACCAGAAATCTTGCCTTCAAGAAAACGGGAACCGAGGTCTCGCCGGTAACTCTTCCAATCAACAAACTCCCCTCCCAGCAAATGGAGTGCAGCTACGAACCCATGTGCATGTAATTCGAGCTGATGTAGCTCTAGGGTCTCCTGTTGATTCTGTCCTTCGGGAGAGCCTGACTGACACAGCTCGGTTTGAAGGTGTGAGGGTCTGTCCTTGGCGTGCACTTCCAGCTTCTGGTCAGCGCTGCCTGCAGAGCATCGGCTGCATGCGGTGTCCGCTGTCCCGGAGCCCCCGCCTCCTGGAGGCTGTGCAGCCTGCCCCACACGGACGCCAGGGGGAGCCTGTGAGCGCACGAGGCCAATGCTATCCTGCTCGTGCTGGGTACTGCCCCCAGACAGCTCTGCCCTGGCCTCAGTGCCCAGCACACAGCATGGCATCTTTGCTCTTTTGGGACTCGGTTCAGACAAACAAGATGTTGGCAGAGGTGGCCTGGACACCAGCCTAGGCTGGAAACCGGGCAGGAGGGAGGTTCCTCACCTCTCCTTTCTCTGACCTCTGACCAGGAGTCTAGGCCCCCAGTTCCCTCCAGAGAGGAAGCTTGTCTCCGGATAAGACTTGTTGTTTTTTCTTTTTTATCTTCACCCAAGGGCATGTTTATCGATTTTAGAAAGAGGAGAAGGGAGGAGGGGAGAGGGGGAGAGAAACATCGATTGGTTGCCTCCTGCGCACCCTCTGATCACCAGGGAAGGGACCTGCAACCCAGGCACGTGCCCTGACCCGGAATCAAATCCGCGACCTTTCGGTTTACAGGATGATGCTCCAACCAACTGAGCCGCACCAGCCGGGGCAAGATAAAGCTTGTTCTGGCAGGGGGAATCGAAAGAACTCAAAATGTCAGGCTGAGGGTGGGGGCCCGTCCAGGGGCAGTGAGGAGGGAGCAGGAAGGCCTGTGGACAGGGAGGGGGGTCAGCTCAGAGAGCAGACAGCCCTCCGGGGCTACCTGGTGATGGGTGGAAGGTCCAGACTAGAAGGCGGGGGACCAGAGAGGAGGCTGGGGTGAGCACCCGGGAGCATAGGAGGCTGCCTGAGCTGCAGCCAGACCCAGGGGCCAGAGAAGAGAGAGGCAGAGAGAAGCAGGGGCAGGAGGGACCGGAGCTGGGGATTTTTGAGCTGCAGGGATAAGGGAAGGACAGGGCGGGCCCGAGTAAGAGTGGCCACATGACTGGGTGGTCGGCAGGACTGTCCCTAAGATGTCTGGGGAAAGAGAAATGAGTTAGGATGCAGTGAGGGAGAGGGGCCTCCCCGGAGCAGGAGGCTGTCCTAGGCAGGAGTTCAAGGTCAAAGGGAGGAGGCCTGTGTGGTTGGTGGTTGAACCACAGAAGCTGACAAAAGACTCTCGAGAGGAGGAGGAGGAGCAGGGCAGAGAGCGGGACTCGGGCTGCGGTCAAGGTGAAGGACATAGGGGAGATGCCCAGGAGGACACTGGTCACCCAGGACACTGACTGCCAGAGAGGGAGGGAGGAGGGGCGTGGACGTCACGGCGGGAGTGGGGATGAGGAGGCGCGGGGGGCGGGGCGGGGCGCCCTTCCAGTGAGCTGGCCATCAGACTCTGTCCAGGTGTGAGGTGCTATTATCCTCCCATATTATCTGTGGGGGTATCAAGGGCCCCCTAGACATCGGCCACTGGTCTCCTAAACAGTCAGCGCCATCTTGCAGCCCCTCCCCATAAAGGTAATGGCTTTCCACACACAAGGTGGGACTGTGCCTCTAACAGGTCCCACCCTTTGCTGGGTGATCTGAGGTCAGTCCCTCCTGCTCTCTGTGCCTCCTCATTAGTTAAACAAGCCAGGAGAGACTCTAGACAATTGCTCGGGGCCCTCGGGGTTCTGAGGCTCTGTGAGACAACGTCAAATTCCCAAAGCCTTGGGTCATCTTCAGGATGACCTCCATCCTCCAGAAAGCCTCAAAACCCAGAATCCAGACTGCAGAATCTAGAATAAAGACTCCAGTCTCCCAGTCGCTCAAGTCATACTCTGGAGCTCTGGAGTCAAGATTCCAGAGTCTAGGAATCATGGCAGCCAGGCACATGTCCGGCCTCTTGAATGTACCAGGCGGATTTGAAGTTCCAGACTTCATATTCCAAAGGCAACCCATGAAACCTCAGAATCTAGGCCCAAACTCTAGGCTCCAGGCTCCAAAACTCAAAATCCAAAATCTACCATTCGCATACTCTAGGATCCACACTTGCAAACTAGCAGCAAGTGTGAAGGTTTCTAACTTGACGTTTTTGATTGCAAATGCCGGAGTCCAGACTGCTAGTTTGGATGCTCAGGTCAAAGGCTCAGGATCTAGACTCTAAGTCTGAGAATCGTCACTCAAAGACCAGACTCCAGATTCCACACCCAAACTCCAGAACACAGACTACTCCAATATTCTTCAAACTCTAGATTTCAGGTCATGAACCCCCAACTCTAGACCCGCAAATTGAGAATCCAGCACCGGAGAACCAGAATCAAAGGTCCAGAACCAGGGACCTGGACCCAGCACCCAGCACCAGAGATCCAGATTCCGAATGCAAGACCCAGAACCCAGAGCTGAGAGGTCTAGCCTTCAAGGTCCAGCATCGGGAATCTGGATCCAAAATCCAGGTCCCAGACTTGGAGCTCCAGATTCAGAATCCAGCATCAGAGGTCAAAGGTCCAGAATCCGGAACTGAGGGCTCCGAATCCAGAATCAGAGACCCAGCATCGGGACTCCAGATCCAGGCCCAGAATTCAAGGTCCGGCACCCTACTCCCGGCACAAGGAGTACGGCGCTGGAATCCGGCTTCTGCACTGCAGACCCCCGTTCCAGGTTCCAGGCTCCGGAACCCTGGCTCTCTATTTTGGTCTCCCATTTTCGGCCCTTGCCCTACCGCTTCCTCCTCCTTGAGAAACTGCCAGGGAATTCCTCCTTGTAGACTCAGACAAAAGTTTCAGCCTCATAAATGTTTATTAGGTCTCATCCCCACCCCACCAACCACCCGGGCGTCCAGCCTGTAAAGCCGACTGACGGCCGCCTCCCACCCCACCTTACTCAGCCTCCCCGGACCCGGGTGGGGCTGGAAGCTTATAAATTCGGGCATTCGGCTGCTGCTCCCCTTCTCCTGGCATCCAAGCTGCCCCAGATGCTGCTGGAGGAATCTGGAGGGGGTGAGACCTTTGGGCCCGGAGTGGGGGAAGGGGGTAAAGGGAGACATGGTCTGCCCTGAGTGTGAAGGGCATTGGGGTAGGTCCGTATGTCCTTTACCGGACCTTCACGTTGAACCCCAACCAAGAGAGGTGCAAGGAGGAGGTGCAGGGCGTGGGATATAGAGTGACTCAGGAGGATGTCCCTGAAAGCGCTTGCGCCCAAAGCAAGAATAGTGTCAGGAGCCAAGGCGGGGAGGAGAGCAGGTCAGCTCAGGTCAGCTCAGCACAACTCACCAGGCGTGTCGATGCGCCAGGCCTCAGGCTGGGCAGCGCAGGGGACACAGGGGGGACCCAGCCTGAGCATTCTTGGGGGCCTGCGCTGTGATGGAGGCAGACAGGCACGGGGTGGGGGGGGACCCGGAAGAGACTCCTGCGAGGAAGCGAGGCCTCCCGGAAGAAGGGGGAGCTGAGCCTCAGAGGGAAGAAGGGGTCTGGAGGATGAATCTGGAAGGTTGCAGGCAGCCCCAGAGGTCCCCTTGGGGGGTTCTCTGTCTTAAAGGAGAGACACACCCCCCACCCCGTGGGAGAAGGTCAGAAAAGGCCGCGAGGAGGCAGCAGACCTTGAAGGGAATGGTACCAGGGAGGGGGAACAGCCCGCGCAAAGGCGGGGAGGCATGAAACTCCAGGGAGGAAAATGGGAGAGTCGGCTGTGTCATGACAGACCCAGCCCGAGAGGCTGGGAGCTGGAGAAGCCACTCTTGTCCTCATAAACGTGGCTGGGGGGCTGGGACTTTATCCTGGGGGCGCTGGGAGTCAGGAGGACTGTGAGCAGGAGTGGGGCGTGGTCAACTCCAGGTGTGGAAAGACCCCCTGAGGCCGTGTAGGCTGGGACCTTCCGTGAAGGGACAGACTGGGGGACGGGGGCGGGGCAGAGGACCCGAGAGGCCCAACAGGAGACTGGGAACGGGTCTGGGGGGGATTGTGTACCGAGCCAGGGCCTTGGAGGCAGAGAGATCCAGGCGCAGGGGCCATGCTGCTGGGGTCTGATAGGTTGTTGGGGCACCGAGGGGTCGAAGGGCAGACCCTTTGGAGATGGGAAGCCTGGGAGGAAGAGCAGGCTGGGGCTGGGGGTGGGGAGCGAGGTTGCCAAGGAGAAGTTTCTTACGCAGCAGGTGGGCTACCTTCCTGTGGGGGTCGTGGCCGGGCTCCAAGTCGGGGCAGGGGGTTCCAGCGCACCCCAGTTTACTCTCTCCCCTCCCCAGACTTCAGCAGAGCCCTGGCCCCTCCTCCACAATGTGGCTTCTCATCTTCACTTTCCTGCTGACGTCGGCAGGTGAGGCGGGCCCAGGTCAGGTCAGGGTCTGTGGGAGCGGGGTGCCCCCTCAGCCGCGCCCACCCCGGGCGTACCCCGCTGCTGCGGGGTCCCCGTGCCATGCGGGGCCTCTCACGGGGGGCGCACAGACCTGGGTTTGAGTGCCAGGGCTGCCCCTGCCTCGCTGGGAGACTGGGAGGAATGACTTTACCTCTCTAGGCCCTGCCAGTGTCTAGTCACTGGACATCCCTGTGACAGGTTCCCCACTGGCCCAGGGCCTGGCCCAGGGCAGTGCCCTGGAAGGGTGGCCAGCTTTGCTGAGCGCCCAGTACCTGCCAGGCTCAGTTCGTCTGATCCAGCGAACGTCTCTGCAGTGGGGAGCGGGCTGGGGCTTGGAGAGGGGCAGCCACTAGGCCAAGGTGACCCTAGGTGGCCGGAGAACTCCAGACCACGTTCATCCACCACCTGTGGAGAAATTAATTGTAACCTGATGCCTCTACCCTGGAGGAGTGGAGGGTGGACTTTCATTACCTTCCACTTAGACACGACCCTCTCTCGCCCCTGGGGGCCCCTCCAGCCATCCCCCGCCCCCTTGGCCAGCGTCCCCCTGCACTCGGTCCTCGCTTTCTCCCCCCCCCCCCCCCCCGCCCCCGTCTCCTGCCCGCCTGCGGCACCCAGCTGGGGCCTCCGCCCTCCTCCAGCTCGGACTGGCCAGTTGCAGCCTTGGCACCCAACTGTTCAGCCCGAACCTTCTGCCCTTCTCTGAAGGACGACCTCACCCTTGTTAAGCCCCTTGTCCACCTCATCCCAGTTCCCTCCGCCTTGCCAGGGCCCTTGGCCCAGCTCCCAGCCCTAGCGGGCAGAGTGTGGGCATTTGGTCTTGACTGTGCAAATCCTGCCCGCGTGTGGATATAACCGTGTGCCTGGCCGTGACCTTGAGGAGACATATCAACGTTGCCCAGTGAAGGGAGGCATGGTCCTGTGATCTTGAAACGTCCCTGTTCATGTCTTTGTGCGTGGTGCCGTTTGTGGGTCCCTGCTCCCATGTGTGATCCAGGGACCCACATGCGAACCCCGATGAGTGAGTGACCTTGAACACCAAGCCACTGACTTGGGGGCTGATCTGGTGATGGATAAATATGTCCTGTCCTGGCAGCCTGTGTCTCCACCTCTACGTCCTTGGCCTTGAATGCCCAGACCAGTGTCCAGAGGTTGCCCTGAGGGCTGATCTAGCTGGTCCACCTCTGAGTGTTGGCCCTTCAAATCTCCATAAAGTGGCTTGGGGATGAGTCAGTTTTGACCTTGACTATCTTTATCTGGGTCCAGTCATACATCTGATGTGCATTGTATCCACAACCTGAACATCCATGCGTCATGCCTGCATTAATAAACCTACGAGTCCTTTGTTTAAAATAACGAATATTTATTAAGCAGTCACAATGTGTCAGGCATCTCGCACACACACTCCTGCGTCATCATTATAACAAGCCCATCTTACGGATGAGGAAACAGGCACGGAGAGGTCAGATAATCTGCTCACAGTCCCACGGATGATACGTGCAGACCTGGGGGCAGGGATTACTCTGTCACCCCAAATTTAACCTCGATACTGTAGACCCGTGTCTGCCTCTTCACATGCACCTTTATTAAAGACCCCGCCTTGCACCTCCGGACCCCAAGGGCAAGTGTGAGCACCTGTGACCTAGTGCGTACAGACCCGCCCTACGGACGTAAGTTTAGGTCTGAGCTTCTACATGCGAAGCTGTGTCTGTGGACGTGCGTGCGTGCACGCGGGTGCCCCTGTCTTGACTGCCCCTATTCCCGCACACCGACGACCCCCCCTCACCCCGATGCCATGATGCTTGATCCTTGAAGCTGCAACCCACGGATGCACAAGTGAGTTCTGCGTCAAGTGCTGTCCCCACCAGTTCCTACGTCTGGAAGACCAGTTGTGCCTGTTTGCGCGCCCATGACCTTGTGTGGTCATGTCTGTGTCCCTGTATGTAGGACACACTACATTTGGCTGAGATATCTAGACTCTGGAGCCAAGACTGTGTGTCATACATAGTGAGTGGCCACATCCATTTGATGTCTGTGACAGCTCAGTGACCTTGAATAGCTGGACGGGGTCCATCGTCCTTGTCTCCACTCCCAGCCACAGAGGACGGCTCGCCCTCTGGCCCCTTCCCTGTCCTCTCTCTCCCCCCGCCCCCAGCCCCGTGGTAAGCTGGTGGGGGCCAGGCACAGGGACGCCGTTTGGAAGAAAATAAGCAGAAGTTGTAAAAGTTAGAGAGAAGGCAGTGCTTAAAAAAGCAACAGCAGGGCCACCTTAGGAAGCTGCAGGGAGGCACAGGTGAAATATACACCGTGAGGGCAGGACGCAAGGGAAAGGACTTTGTCCTCAGAGATGCTCCTCTGTCTCCTCTCCCAGCAGCCCAGGAAGGCAGCAGCAAGTTCCTGGGAGACGAGGAGTGCAGGCCCCACTCCCAGCCCTGGCAAGTGGCCCTCTTCGAGCGCGGCCGTTTTAACTGCGGCGCGTCCCTCATCTCCCCGTATTGGGTCCTGTCTGCGGCCCACTGCCACACGAGGTATGAAGGGTATGAAGGCGGGGCTCAAGGGCCTCAGGGGGCCGGGCAGGAAGTGCCGAGGGATCTGGGGCTCTAGGACTCGGGAAGGAAAGGCTGGAGCCGGAGGACTGAGTCCCAGGTGTGCGCGGGACTACGGACACTTCGGCCCCCGGGGGGCGACGGCTGAACTCTTGGCGTTGGGGCTTTGCGCGGAGGGTAATGGGATATGCAGACTCCCATAGGGTTGAGGAGCCCCCAGCTGTCTGCTCTTTTGATTTTTCTGTCTCCTCCGCTCGCCGCTTTTGGCGCCACGCAGCAACATGATGGCGCGCCTGGGCGAGCACAACCTGCGCAAGCGCGACGGGCCGGAGCAGCTGCGGGCTGTGTCTCGCCTCATCCCACACCCGCGCTACGAAGCGCGCTCCCATCTCCACGACCTGATGCTGGTGCGTCTAAGGCGGCCCGCGCGCCTCTCCCCGCAAGTGCGCCCCGTGCCGCTGCCCTCGCGTTGCCCCCAGCCTGGCGAGTCCTGCGTGGTGTCGGGCTGGGGCCTGGTGTCTGACACGGAGCCTGAGACCACAGGAAGCCGGGAGTCACAAGGTGCGTGAAATAATGGAGCCGAATGTCAGGCCTTTAGGGACCCTACCGTCCGGGGCTCTTGGGCAGCGCGAACGAGGGCCTGGAAATGCCTGCGTTTACTCCAAGCTCCCTTGTCCTTCCCAGTCAATCTCCCGGACACGTTGCACTGCGCCAACATCAGCGTCATCCCGGCCGAGTCCTGTAGCAAGGACTACGCGAGCCACCTGATGAGCACCATGGTGTGTGCAGGTGTGGAAGGCGGAGGCACCAACTCCTGTGAGGTCAGCGCCAAGGCAGGGGCGGGGGGGGGGGGGGGGCGCAGCGCCGTGCCCTGGGGAGACTGGAAGGGGGCAGGTGTGGGAGTTGAGACAGGCCGGGTTTTGCTTGCTTTGGGCCAGGCCAGAGGAGGGCCTGGGGCTAGGTCTGCGGAGGGAGCAGGAAGGGCAGTTAGAACCCGGGTGAGCGTGGGCTTGGCGGCCCAGGTGGGGGAGGGACACGGCGGGCGGCTTGGGCCGGCACAGGCTGGCGCTAAGAATGGGCGCGGGCTGGTTTTGACTGCAGATGGGCACTATGTCAGGGTCGAACCGGGGACTGGGTAGACTGTAGTCTGGGAGGCCAAAGACACGACAGCAGGGTCGGGGTGGTCGCGTGGGAAGTGAGGGTGGGTGCGGGCGGGTTTGGCTCTGAACCAGGAAGGCGGCGGGCGGCTGGGCTGGGTGGGCCGGTGCGTTGCGCTGAGCTGCGCCGGCCGGGTTAGGTTGATGTGGGTTGCCCCGGGGGTGAACGGCGCTGAGACGGAGCGGGGCCGGATTTTGATTGAGACCGCGAACGACGATGAGGATGGGGACGGGGACACTGGAGCCGGAGGTTCTCCCTCAAGTTTCCCCTTCTTCCCCGCAGGGCGACTCTGGGGGACCCCTGGTCTGCGGAGGCGTCCTACAGGGCATTGTGTCCTGGGGTGATGTCCCTTGTGACAGTACTACCAAGCCTGGTGTCTACACCAAAGTGTGCAGCTACTTGGAGTGGATCAGGGACACCATGAAGAGGAACTGATGGCTTTGGCCCACCCCCACCCACCACCCTCCCTACCCTTCCCCACAGTCCTCTCTCCCACGCTGAGCGGAAACTCCCACAGCGGCTCCATCCCGACCTGGGGCAGAGTCCAGCCATCCCCCGAGACCCCCATTTGTCCAAGGCCCCATTGTCAGCCAAGGACTTGTCCCGCCTGAGGTGCCAGCTGGTGCTGAAGGTCACCTGTTTAACACCAAGATAACAGCATGGATGCGAGTTTCTCTATATAAGTTTCTGTGATTTCTTCCGAGGAGGAACGGAAGTGGGGAGCAGCAACGGGGCGGGGAACCCCGATCCAAGGTGCTGGGTCCCTCTTTGCCCGCTGCCCCGCCCCCGCAGGGAGGAGAAAAGGCTGGAGGCGGGCCTCTGTTCACTCACCCCGGGCATCGTCTGTCCGTGTGCTCCCGGGCAAAAGGCTCAACCTCACCCAGCCTCAGTTTCCCCTTCTGTGAAACAGGGATCCTCATGTTGCTCACCTCAGAGGGTCGTAAGGATTAAACGAGGAAATTCGTATAAACCAATTCAAATAGGACCTGGCACTGGGAAAATACTTGAGATCTCTGAACCCAAGCCAAAGGACCCAGTGCACACCCGGTCTAGAATGACTTCATTTTCTTCCAGGTTTAGTTTGGGGTTGGTTCCCAACCTACAGCAGAGACGGGGACCCCATGAGCTGCTGTGATTTTACTAAAGACCCCAGGGGACATGTCGGAGGCCGATAGGGTTTACCGTGGAGGCTGCCGGGAATCTAGTGTTTGATTCTCTTCAGAGATGCCCAAAATGTGATTGGCAAAGTCATTGAATGTGGCGGTGCTCACACCTGGCCCCTGAGACCTACGTATTCTGTTGGGAGAGGGGAGATTGGAATTTGTGACGAGGGTGCTCTTGGGAGGCAGGTCGCCCGGGATTTCTGGGACTTTGGAGGATGTGACCCTGAACGTCCTGATCCGCAAAACAGGGCATTGAGGGAGGGGTGACGGGCTCCGTGGGGCTTGGGGGAATGACGGACGTTGAAATGCCAGGGGACATATTCAGGGAGACCACCTGCGGGGCCCTGCTGGACCTGGCTGTTCCCACACTCAGGACGGAAGGCTGGCCCGAGGGCCCCTGGCCAGAGGGAACGGGTAAGGCTTTGGAAATGGATTGCATTTCCCTCCTTATCTCCTTTTCGGAAACAGCTTTCTGTCCCACGTGACCGTGTCTTGACCCTTTCTTTCCGCACGTACACGCTGAGGCAAAGTAGTTCAGAGTCACGGGCAAGACACGGGCCTCCTTTTGTCTGGGACCCCGAGCCTTGGACTCAGGGAGGTGCGGTCCTGCTTCGCCGACCTGCCGCCATTGGCGCTCCCTGTAACGTGACTAATAAAGGCTGTGTCTGCTCCGTCCAGCCCTCCCTGTGGGTTTTGTTTTTGTTTCTGTTTTTTGGTTCGGTTCCCCCCCACCCCCCGGCTTATCCGAACAAGCCGTTGAGACCCCTGGGCTGACCTCCAGCCTTACCCCGCTGAATCTTACCCCATATTCTGGGGGCGCTGCACTGGGAAGGACACTCTAAGATTTTCTTATGAGAGGAACAATAGATGGGGGGACCTAGATCCTGAGTCTAGGAATGCAAGAACCAGGGTGTTCTGCAAGCCACAGCTTCTATTTCAGGGGGACCAGGAAGCTGAGAAGCTGGCATCCTGGCCCCCAAGCAAGGCAGGGAGAAGGGAACCAGAGCCCCACAGTTGGTATTTGATGGTACGCTGGGTCTTGGGGCGTGCGGCCTTACTCGGGGTTCAGGAATAGGGCGCTTTCTATGGGGGGGGTCCGTGATTCCCCCGCCCTCATGTTTCAGTCCCCATTCACTGCCCCACCTACCCCCGCTGGCTCTGTCCCCAAGAGCGGGGCCCCGTCCTGGCCCTGCCCCGGCTGGCCTCGGCCCCAGGAACGCTTCCAGCCCAGTCGAGGGCCCGCAGAACAACAGGTGCTTATTCTCACATCCCTTCTGCGGCTCTGCGGTGGGAGGAGGTGTCCGGGCCCCCAGGCAGCGGGGGCAGGGCCTTGGCCGGCCTCAAGGCGCCAGCAGGGCAGGGGAGGGGCGCGGGGGGGGGGGGTGACGGCTTTTAAAGGCTCCTCAGGGAGGCTCTTCAGCTGCTGGTTCTCCACCTGCCTGGCCCGGGGCACCCCTGCTACCATGTGGTTCCTGGCCCTGTGCTTTGCCCTGTCCCTGGCTGGGACTGGTAAGACAGCGGGGAAGATGTGGGAGGGGAGCGGGCCCCGACTCTCTTGCTGCCTTCATCCCCCCCCATATAATAGAATAATAAATCCTTTCCCTTGCACCCAGCAGCCCAGCCTGCACCCCCACAGGCTCTTTCCACCCCCGCCCCAAACCCTACCCCAGCCCAGCATCCTTCTCACCTTCCCCGCAGCCCTCTCCCCCGCACGAAGCCCCGCTCCCTCCCAGGAACCCCCAGAATCTCTTACTCTTCCTCACTCGGACCCCGCCCGCACTCACTTTGCCAAGGGGGCATCCCGGGCCGTTGCATCCTCTCTCTTTGGGGGACTCCAACTCTTCCAAGGAGCCCCCAGCCCCACCAGACTGTGGGACCCCTCTCACACCCGCATCCCTATGACCCAATGGCCTGGCTCCCGAGTCCCCAGATCCCACCCCTCCCTGGAGGTGGTTTCCATCCAGCTGGCAGCTCTCAACCAGGCCCCCCCAGGCCCCCCAGGCGTCTGGCCACTCCCGCCCAATCCCGGACCCTCCCAATTCCATCCGAGGCCTTGGCTTCTTCCAAAACAGACTTTCTGGTCCATCCTGGTATGGGGGCTCTGGGATTGTCTCTTTCTTCCCGGGGGCCCCCACGCAGCAGCCTGGGCCTTCTCCTCCAGGAAAACCCTCGGGACCCCCGGCACACGCTCCTCTCCCTGTGGGAGTCCCATCCTCCCCCCAGCTCCAGCTCCTCTCCGCCTGCACCCTCCTGCACAGCCCTGGCTCTCTGGGGCGGCGCCCCTCCCCAGGACCCCAGACACCTCCCCGGACCGGCTGTCCCGCCCTGCCTCCCTCAGTCCCCCAACACGGGATTCAGAAACCCCACACGTGGGCCCTCCCGGGTTCCCACAGCTGCCTGGCCCCTGGCCCGCCCCCCTCTCCACACCATGGAGGCCAGCCAGGTCACCCCGACCCCGCATCCATAGGCTCACCCAATCCCAGGGGGACTAGCGCCGGCTCTCCCTCCTTTAAAGCCCCTCCCACTTCCGACCCCCAGGCCGCCTAGAGCCCCCACGCCTCCCAGAATACCATTCGAAGCCCGGCCCCTCCAGGCTGGTCCTTGATTTCACCCTTTGGCCTGCAGTCTCAAATTCTCCCACTTCTTCCAGCCCCAGCCGGGAACCCCCATCACCCCAAACTCCCCGGGGGCTCTTCTTAGCCTATCAGACCTGATTCCCCAAATCCACGCCTTTCCCAGGACCCCCGAAAGCCCAAGCCTCCAAAAGGCCCTCACCTTTTCGTCAGCCCGGAAGCCCTTAACCAGCTAAACTCTTCCCAGCCCCTGAGCCGCTCCCTTGAGGCCTTTAGCCTGGTTTCCCTCTCAGAACCCACAGCCTCTTGTCCCCGCCCCCAACCCCGTCCAAGACCCAAGCCACCCTGCAAGCCCAGCCACCACACCCGCTACCTGCTCCAGGTGCTACCCTGCTGTCTCCTGCCCTGACCCTGGGGTCTGCTCTCTGTCCCCACCCCGCCCCCGCCACCAGCCCACAGTCTCACTCTTCCGAATCCTGGGACCTTCCCAACAGCCCTGGCCCACGTCCTCAGCCCCCGCTCCTCCGCCCCATGCACGGTCCCCGCTCTCAGTCCTGCCCCCTGGCCCTGCTGCCGCCACCGCCTGCCCTGACCCAGTGCCCTCTCTGCAGGTGCCGCCCCTGCCATCCAGTCCCGGATCGTAGGAGGCTGGGAGTGTAAGGAGGGCTCCCACCCCTGGCAGGTAGCCCTGTACCATTTCCACGAGCTGCAATGCGGGGGCATCCTGGTACACCCGCAGTGGGTGCTCACGGCTGCCCACTGCATAGGCGAGTGAGTAGCGGGGGGCGGGGCAGCGGTGTCCAGGGAGGGGATATCTGAGCTACCATAGGACTGGGCAGCCAGCACTGTCCCCTGGGATACCCTCAGGGGAGGCTGGGGGACCAAGGGCCGAAAGGGAAGGTCGTGGTCCAGAGCCACAAGGAGAGAGGCAGGGCTGGGCCTGGGTCGTCTCGTCCTCTCTCTTTGGGGGACTCCAACTCTTCCAAGGAGCCCCCAGTCCCGCCAGACCCTGGGGCCCCTCTCGCCCCCAATCCCTCTGACCCGATGGTCTGGCTCCTGAGTCCCCAGATCCCACTACCGCCGGGAGGCCTGGGGAGGGAAGCCCCCCAGGGCCGCCTGAGCCTGTCTCTGCCTCTCCCCCGTCTCTCTGTCTTCCTCTGTCCTGGCTCTGTCTCTTGCCAACTGGCTCTGCTGCCTCTCTCTCCCGTCTCCATGCCCCGGTGTCTCCCTGTCTCTGTCCATCTCTGGGTCTCTCCTCATCTCTGTACGTCTTAAACTCCAGCTCGCTGCTCTGTCTCCCTCTCTGGGTCTCTGCCTCATTCCCTCTCTCCGGCACCAGGATGGGACCCAAGGGGACCCCTAGAGGAAGGGGAGGGTTGTCTGCAACATCGCGTGTGTGTATGTGGTGGGGGGGCTTCTGACACTGCCCAGGCCCACCCTTCAGGACAATCCATCCACTCCAGGGGCTCATGGGGAAGGGCTGGTTTCAGCTGGAGCTGGGCGCAGGCCATGGAGGAAGAAGGAAGAAGTGAGAAGAGGAAGGGAAGGGCGCTGGGGAGGGAAGGAGGCCACTGACCTTGGGCTGGGGGCCAGGTCACCCGCCTGCTGGGGAACCAGCCCCACAGCCCCAGCTGCACCTGAGCTGGTCCAAGGCCCCTCCTCTCCGCCTGCGCGGCTCCCTCCTGTCCCCCCCCACCCCCCCACCCCCGCCTTCTGTCTCACGGGCCGCCACCCCCTGGCTTCCTCTGCTTCCATCTCCGGCTCTCCGTCTTTCCTCCCTCCGCTCCTGCCTCACTTGCTCTGCCTCTCACTGCCCTCCCTTATTCTGCTCCTTCCCTCTTGCGCCTTCCTCTGTCTGACTGTCTCCTCCTCGCTCGGCCTTTCTGCCCCCTCCTCCTCTCTGCTCTTCCTCTGTCTTTCCCGTTCCCTGGCATTTGTAAGCTCCCTTCTTTGCTCCCTCCCTCTCTGTCCCTGGATCAGCCTTTCACACGACCACATTCTTTTTCTCTCTCACTGTCCCTCTCTCTGCCATGCGGAACCTTCCGTGCCCTCTCAGTTTTCCTTTTTGTTTCTCTTCCCCTCCTTTGGGACCTGCCTGCCTGCTGCCCTGCCCCGCCCCATGTCCCTTCCCCCTCCTCTCTCCCCAGGAACTACCAGCTCTGGCTGGGGCTCCACAACCTGAATGACATCGAAGACTCGGGGCAGTACGCGCAGGTCAGCCAGAGCTTCCCGCACCCTCAGTTCAACCTGAGCCTCTTGAAGAACCACACCACTTACCCCGAAGAAGACTACAGCTACGACATCATGCTGCTCCGCCTGGCAGAGCCCGCCCAGATAACAGACACTGTGAATGTCCTGGACCTGCCCACCCAGGAACCCCAACTGGGGAGCATCTGCTACGCCTCTGGCTGGGGCAGCATCCAACCGTATCCCTGTACGCCAGCCCGGAGCCCGGACTCCTGGGTGTAGGGAGGAGGGGCTGGGGGCCGAGACCCCGGGGTCCGAGGGAGGAGGGCTGAGGAGCCAGGGAGCATCGGCCACAGCCATGTGTCTCCATGGCCCATAGTCAAATACCCAAAGGACCTGCAGTGTGTGGACCTCCAACTCCTGCCCAATGAAGAGTGTGCCAAAGCCCACCCACAGAAGGTGACAGATGTCATGCTGTGTGCTGGATACCTCAAGGGCGGCAAAGACAGCTGCGCGGTGAGCCATCCTGTTCCCCGCGGGCCCCAGCGCGCTGGGGGACAGAACGCAGGCTCTGGGCTGGGGCTGAGTCCTCCAGGCGTCCGTCTGCAAGGCTGCCCAGATGTAGCCCCTCCCCCGAGTGCCTCAGCCCCCTTTCCTTCCTGCACCCCCCTCCAGGTGTCACATGCACCCCCCTTCCACATCATCATTCACCCCTTCCTCCCTTTAAAACATAGTTACAGTCCAGTTGAAACCAGAGGGCCACTGGGTGCAGGGCTTGAACTGCCGGTCGCCGCTCAGCCACAAAGCAGAGACAGGGATTGGACTGCAATTGCGCTTTTACTCATATCAGACGCCAGCCGTCTGAGCAGGTGGCGGGTAAAAACCCTAACGTCCACCTCCCCTTGAGCTTTCAGAAGCAAGTGTGTAAGGGAAACTTGGGTATTTGAGGGGGATGGGAGGCTGGAAAGGGAGTCACGCTGCTTCTTCCCAAGCTCCCTCCCCTTGTTCCGATGTTATCTCTCCTTTGCACTAGCTTTGCTCCCTTCCCAGGACATCAGCGGGTTATGGCCTGGACGCTATGTATTCTCTGGTGGGGAGGAGAGGCATGAACCATTGGCTCTCACGTGTCCTTGGTCAGGGGAGATAAGGTCTTGCGACTCACCGGCTGTCTGTCAGTTGCTCGAACTGTTTGGGCTTGTTTCATTTCCTTGTCTCCGTTTCCCCACTCCACTCGCCCAGGAATTCTCCTAGCGTCTTACTATCCTGTCACACTGTCAGAGAAAGCCGCTTGGGAGTCGTGACATCTAAGATGAGTCCGGAGGCAAGAGGGTCCCAGAGACGATCCCTCTTCTCCTGCCTGCTGACCCGTCTGCAGGGACTGCCCCCCCAGGCCCTGACCCCCACCCACAGAAACTGGACCCCTGTGTCCCATCCCCGTTGCCTAGAACCCAACCCCGTGTCCCCTCGGTTGGAATCCGGCCCACCTTCTTCTGGGAGTGGACCCTGGACACAGGTCAGCGGCTTGACCCCACGCTCTCCCTCCCTCCGCTTTGTTCTGTAGGGTGACTCGGGGGGCCCACTGATCTGCAACGGTCAACTCCAAGGAATCGTGTCATGGGGCCACACCCCCTGCGCCCGGCCCAATAAGCCCAGTGCCTTCACTAAAGTTGTGTCCCTCCTGGACTGGATCAAGGAGACCATGGCAGCCAACTCCTGAGCGCTCTCGCCCTCTCCCTAAGCCCCAGTAAAACCTAATATGCATCACATGCGCTCGAAGTTCTGGTGTCTTTTGGCCTTCCAGACGCAGAGCGCCTGGGAGCCCGGGACCTGCCCCTGGAGCCAGCCAGGAGCCGGCCCAGCCTTCCCGGTCTCGAGGCGGGAAGCGCGCAGTTACGGGCAGGGGGGAAGGACGGGCCACAGGGCCAGACAGACAGGCAGAGAACGGAGGCAGGGACTCGAGACCGCTTCCACGTGCGGGGCCCGCCCCTACCTCGCGGGAGAGGACGAGCGTCTGACTCCCAGAGGCTGGGTGGCGCCCACGTTTTATTGTGGCGGGAAGGGGACACAGGGATGCTATTGCAAGCCACGCCTTCCTGGGGAGGGGTTACCTCGAAAACTGGGCAAGGTCGTATCCGCCCGGAGGCAAGACTAGAAATCCAGGGGTGGGGTTAACCCTCGGAGCGGGAGGAGCTCCGGCGAAGAAGTGCGCCCTCGGGGCGTGGCTTGCGAAGGCTGGCCGTCAGGGGGGCGTGGCCTGGCTCGGGGCTGGTCACGCCCCCTGACCACACAGCGCGGGCTCCGACTTCGAGGGTGAGGGCAGAATGAGGACTTAACGGGCCGGAACGGAGTCGCAGGGGGTGGGCCCAAGCTCGAGGGACCGGGCCTCGTCAACAGTCCTCGGAGGGCGTGGCTTGTTATACGGGAGTGGGGCCCCAAGGGAGGGCTAGTCTCAGGCGCGTGGCCCCGCACCTGGCCGCAGTTACCCGTCCGTGTCCTGAGAAACAGTTGCTTAGAGAGGTTTGGCGGGGGTCTCCTGGGAAGGCAGTGAACTGGGCGGGTCCACAGTTGGCTTGGGGTCTGCGCCTGACTGCTGGGCGATCGTGTGCCTCCGAGAGCTGCGCCGCAAGGCCCAGCGGCGACAGCTCATCCTCCGATTGCTCACCCGCCGCTCCCAGGAGATCGACTGGAGGCCCCACATGCCCACGTGGTTTAAGTAGCTCAGAGTTCCTGGGGAGAGGGGCCTGCGTGGGCCAGGGGACTCTGAGCCCGGCCCTAGGCCCTGCCCCGTTCCCCTCGGGTCCGCCCCCTTCCGGCCCAAGGCCCTGCCTAGGGTTCTCCCCGGGGCTCCGCCCCTTAACCTGCCGAGGCCCCGCCCCTCTGCCCGAGGCCCTGCCCTCACCGGCCCACAGCATCAAGGCGCCGCCGCCCCAACATAGGTATGTGGTCAACAGGTAGGATACCTGTGGCTTCGGTTCCAGGGTCTGGCAGTTGACTACAAAGAGCGTCATGCTGAGGACAATCAGGAGCCCTGCACTTGGGTGGGGCCAGAGATGGACACGAGGCTAGACAGGAACCTCGGAACGCCCAGAAAGAGGAGACACGACAGCACCCCTCCAGCACGCGCGCATGCACACGACAGACAGAGATGCCTGGAAGATATCCCACACACTCACCGCGGCCGAGAGAGACAGAGAAAGGAGAACTGTGAGAGTGGGCAGAGATTCCGAGAAACTTTCAAAGACGGACCCAGGGACTAGCAGGACAGACACGCAGAGAGAGACCTGCCCAAAGCCAAAAATAAAGCCGGGGGACAGATGCTGGGGGCGGGGGAGCGGGGGGCGGGTCCGCCTTCCCCCCCGAGCCGTCGCTTACCAATGCAGAAGCTAAGGAAACTGAAGATGAGGTCGATCTTGCTCAGGCGGTTGAAGATGGGCCGGAAGGAGAGGCCCATGGTGGGAAGGAGGATGAGACACAGGGCCAGCGCCAGCATCATGAAGCCCATGCTCATGTGCATGAGAACTGGAGGGGTCAGCGGAGCAGAGAGGTTGTCCCAGAGTCATCCCCAGACACTCTCCAAGGTCAACCCCCAGACTGACCCCTACGGACACCCGGGTACATCACCTTCAAAGGACCCCTCCCCCGAGTCTGACTACCAACACCGTCAAAGTCACCCCCTCTCGCATCGCCAAAGTCACCTCCTAGGAGTCCCCCAATGACTCCCACTCTCACCAAGTCCCTCCCAGGCAGCCGTAAACTCAGAGTCACCCCCACCCACACCCTCAAAGTTGTCCCCCATTTACCCCAAAGTCAACCCCCAGACGCCCTCGTAATCAACTACCCATCTCACCAAGGTCATCCCACGGAGGGACCCTGAGTCACCCCCTGCAGGGGAACTTACTTAAGATGCAATATGGCTCCAGCAGCAAAGGCCTCTGGGAAATGTTGGACTCTATTTAACTCTCTCTCAAGCCTCAGGCTTGGCTGACGCCCCAGGAAACCGGAATGGCGCCCACAGGTAAACGTCAGGCCCCCAGGGAGGAGGTTAATGGATGAGCAGAGTATGATAACTGCCTAATGTTATGTTAACTTAGGGACCTATGGTTCTTCCTGGTGGTCTCCAAGACCACCCGCCATGTGGTTTCAGTATTAACGCCCTTTGAAAAAGAGGCCCTGTCCTGGGAGGGGTGTGGATTCTCCCCGGCCGCCCACCGCTGGGAGCTGCTGCCTTGCCTGTTAAGTGTCTCCTACTAAAGCTCTTACGAACTTGATCAAGGCTACATGTCCGTTCTTCAGAACCAATCCTGAATTTAGACTTTTGGGGCTTTCCCCCAACACCCTCAACTCACATTCTCAAGGTCACTCCACAGAATCATCTCAGTCATGTCTCGAGTCACCTCCACAGAGAGCCCCAAAGTCATCGTGCTCACACTCCCAGAAGACGCCTCGCCGCAACTCACATGAACATCCCCACTCTCACTCCCGGACACTCGCAAAAGCAGCCTCAAAGTTATTTATCCAAGACCCTTCGTTCACTTTAGTCATCTCCAGAATAACTCTACCGTTCTACCCCTCGTCAGCCTAGGTTCCCAAGTGGCCCCTTTCACACCCCAGAACCTCCTCAATGGCGCCCCTGTTCACCCCCCAGAGCCCCCAGAGCGCGCGCACATGTACACAAAAGAAAAAACTTGCAAACACTCCAAATCAGTGCACCTGAAAGATGACGTCACACTCGCTTTAGAACTGGCATTTACCCGAGTCGCACGGCAGTGTGACCATCCCCTCCTCCTAGTCCCTTCCCACGTGGCCTGCTTTTGAACAGTGCAAAACTTTCAGCCAAAGGAGCCAAGACTCGGTCTGCTTTGTTTCTGGCAAACCGTGGGTCTCTATCACCTCACCGGCAAGCAAAAGGCTAGTCCTATATACAGGACAGCAATGGTGATCTTTGCATCAATGACACACCTCGCGCTGCGGGCCACAGAGGTAGTCACGTGACCCTGGCTGGCCGAGCCAAGCACAGCGTCCCAGACCACGGTGACCGGCCCCAAGATGGGCACAGGCTCAAGGCTCCGCCCGGGGACCTTTTCTAACTGAAGTTGTCAGGGACAGCTCTCTCTCCTCTAGTCAACAGGGGTAGGGGCCTGGCGCTGCCTGAGCCTTGGTCCCAGCCTCCAGGGCGATGGGAGACCTGAGAGAACAGAACGGAGAAAGGAAAGCAGACAAGAGAAGGAGAGTCGAGGTGACCCTGGCTGTTGCCATCCCTGAGACCAGCCTGTTCTGGGGTGTGGTCAGAAAAGAGTGGGCGTTTGCAGCTTGCCTGTCCACCATGCATTTCAGGCTCCTACCTGTTCCCCTCTCCCAGCCCCAGTTATGAGCCAACCAATGCACCGCCTGGCTCCGGCCCCGATGCTTGGTTCGGGGCCCCGGTGTGGCCCAGCCAGGGCTTCCGCGGGAAATTTTTTGCCTTCTTTCCCACTGCACTTGCGGCCCACGTTGTTAGCAGTTCTGCCAGTCATCTGTTTGCCTGCCCCCTGGTCCATCCCCGACCCTGCTCTGTTCGGTGCTGCAAGGACTGCATTTCCCAGGCTCCTCTGCTCTCTGGCCGGCCAGGTCTGGCAATGGCAGAAGAATGGCTCGGGGAGGAGGGGACAAGCTAGGATGTTTATCCCCCATTACTCTCTCTGCCTCAGCTGGTGTCTCCAGCAGCGGCTGCCTTTCTTCTGTGATGCAGCTGCCCCTACGCACCCCACCAAGGGCCTATGCCTTCCAGAAGGCTCCAGTTTCCGGGCCCTATTAATACGACCTCCTCCCTTCGTCCTTCGGGTCCAGCGGTGCGGTGCTTTCCGGAGTTGCTGTCTCCTGCCCTGTCTCACCATTCCCTGCTTGGCTTCTCCACTCTTCCGTTACCCAGGAAGCCAATTCCCTACCTTTACTTTCCTCTGATGCACCTAGAAGGATTTCTTTTCCTAACTAGATTCTGACTCCACGGAGCTTTGAGAATAAAGCCAGTTCAAGTAGCCAAGAAACAAACAGGCAAGTTTGGACAAACAGGGGGGCACATATGAACCTGACAGGCTCAGGGGAAGCCTGCGTGGTGGTCTTACAAACTCAGAGACTGAAAGTGACCACATAGGACGGTCTGGAGTTAAAACTTTCTAACTCCAGGCAGATCATGGTGGGTAGTCCTGTCCAGGGCTACAATCTTCCCTGACAAAGGTCAATCTTTACCTCAGTGAAGCCTCTCTGTTGTCTTTCTGCGTCTACGATAAGGTCCGGAATGTCGGAGTAATTTACCTTTGCCCCCCTCAAAGCACAAGCATCCCCCAAGGCAGAGACCACAACTGCCCTCATTGTTGTCCTGTTCAGTGCCGACTGTTTACTCTCCTCTACCCACGGAGTTAAAGAAGTAGGTGCCTATCATTTTACTTTATCCAATCCCAGAGGTTCCGCCCACCCCCGCCTTTCCTTTTCCCCGCCTCCCTCATCTATCACGTAAACCCCCTTATGCCTCCTCTTTTGATTGCAGTGTATAAAATAAGATGCGAAACAACCGTTTTCTGGAGCGTTTTCTCCATCCCTTTTGCTTCCCGGCAATTGTCAGCTTGGCGCAAAGAAGCTCCTAAAAATTCCTAAGGGTTTAGACATTTCTTACATTGACACAAGTAATGTCTGATGTTATCACTTGCATCCCTGAATTCAGCCATACCCAAAAACATTCCGACTCCCAGCCTTTTGCTCTTAAGGGAGCCCATAAATTCTTTCA